TAATCATTTCACCCTAAGCAAGGCAACAAGGACACAAGAGGTTACCAGGAGTGAAAGAAAATGAGAAAATTTTAGAAGCAACCAGAAACCCAATCCTAATCAGGAAACCAGGGATAAACCACTACTCGTGTTCAATAGATGGGGAAGGAGTATGAAGCAGATCATAGGTGAACTTAATTACTTCTAATTGAAAAAAATAAGAGAATAATAAAAACTTTGGATTTTAGATGATGTTATAAGTGTAGAGTTTAGCTAAGAGTACATGCAATTCCAATTCAAGTGCATGTATTCAGGTCACCAAAGTTAAGCAGTGTCAAGCCCTGTCAGTATTTAGATGGGGAAACTGTTTGGGAACACCAGGTACTTTAAGCAACCTCCTGCATCCTGATATATGTTTGGGCTTTAAATAACCAATAAACAATTTGATAAGTTGTAAAAACGAAAACAAACAATCAATCAATCAATCATCAGTTTCACTCTCTCCCCATAAGGTAATTTTTATTCTTTTCCTTTTCTACTTTCACTTACAAAATGTGCCTGGGTTTTAACTTGAAAAAAATTCTGAAGAATAGAATTCAATGACTAAGACTGAATGGACCATTGATTATAATACATTTTACTCTTAAACTGCTGTGCATTGTATATATTTTGGGAATGAAAAGCAAGTTAAAAATATATAAGTTTAATGTTTTTTCTATCAGTTACTTTACTCTCAGAAAGCAGCTGGCCTATTATTTATATTTTCAGTCTTTGTTGGGCTATTGTCTTCAGATTGCTATAAAAGCATCCTGACTGACCAGGGGGTAAATTTTTCTCTTTACTCAATTGTTTATTTATTTGGTTTTCTTTGTGTTTGGATATTAACATTTTGTCTGTTTCTAAATCTGAAAGGTCAAATGACCTTTTTTTCTTTTTCTTTTTTTTAAGCTGTCTTTACAATGAGATAGAATTACGAACAAATTTATTTGTTGTTATCAGATTTTGAATAGTTTTTAAAATTAACATTACACTGGGTTAATAATTTATTGACAGAATCACATCACATTTAATATTTTACTTAAACATAATGGGCATACTTAAAATTTTTTAAAAAATGCAAGAAAATTCTAATTCTTTACTTGTCATACCAAATTTGACCATATAATTTAATCAACTATTATTTGATATTTATTTTTATTTACAGTAAAATAATGTCCTCATCTTTGTTGTTGTTATCACAATGCTTTGGCAGTTGTGCCCTCCAGCCTTCTTAGGTGTCTGTCAATCCAGATAGCCTTCAAGGAATTTCAGACTGAACCTTTTATTTGCTCTACAGGACAGAATGTTTTCATTTTTTACTGTCCATGTTGGGATATCTCATCTTATTATTTTTTAATACTGCTCAGTTATTGCTGGTTCTGTCTGTACTACCTAGTCTATGCTTCCTGGCCTGGAAATTAAACTCACAATTAACCATTGCTCTAGGCTATTGTTCCCACTATGCACACACATATATATATATATATATATATATATATAAAACTATAAGCAATCTGAAAAAATCATTAAAAATATAATCCACAAGTAGATATCAATAATGTTCCCAACAGATACTTTAGATTTATTATTTACTATTAAAAGTTAAAAATATCTTATTACCAATAACATGGGACCTCAAAATCCCCTCTATGTAGAAATGGCTTTGAATTCTAATGTCTTTTCGGAGATTGCATCGCCAATACCAATAACCAAAAATCATCATTAAATTCTTACATTGGCCACATGTGCACCACCCTCTTTTGTAGGTTGCTTTGTTACTTGCTGAAATTCAGTGCAAGTCATGCACATATTTTTTTACCACACCAGAAACAACCAAAATACAACTATTTACATTAAACAATTACAAAATAGCAAAAAATATTATAAAGCACCTACTATAAAGAAAGACTTAAAATTCTACAAAACATTATAATACAAAAGAAATAACCACATTGAATAAAATGTTTTTCACCACATAAAACGGTATCTTCAAGTGTGTAAAAATTATTTTATGTGTGTAATATAACAATACCTATTTGATACATACTTTTCCATTTTTCCATTGTACATGAGATCACTTTGAACTGATTCCACTTTCAGTGGCCTGGAATTTAGCTAACAAAATCTTGTCTACCAGACTGTCAACACCCAATTTTTAATAATGACTGAAACAGTCAAAGGTACTTGAACAAAACAATAAAACATGAACTTCAGTCAATGTATACACAATTTTGCTCTTGATATATTTTGAAAATTGGAAAAGTACAATAAAAAATGAAACAGTCAAATTGGTGGTTGAGTTTAATGAAACTTGTTTGGATATTATATATAAATAAATTGTATAGGCAAATGCTCTCTTTGCCATTTACTTTTTAAAATAAGCAAAATTGTAGAGTAAGTTCAGGACTTGTCAGATTCAATCCAATTAACTAACTAGTGGTACACATTATCCAAACAAGATCTGAAATTTTACCTGACAGAAGCATTCATGAGTGATATGTACTTATTTTTTATTAAGTAAAGAATTGTCAATCATTATTATTAATTTAGACTAGTATTCACTGTTAACTTAATTTTATTTGCTTTTTATTGTGATGTTACTCACTTTCACTTCATTTTTTTTTTTTTTTTTAGTGGATTCTTTTCTATTCTAATCAGAAAGTGCACTCATCTCCCAACTTTATGTTCAATCTCAGACCGGTCTTGTGTACAATATGATTCATCCTCACAAAAGTAATAGCACAATGTGGTATATGAACTAAGAGAAAAAAAACATATCTGCAGACATTAATGGTTTCAATATGAAAAAAAAAACTTTCTGGTCATAGCATCTAATAAAGTTATTTATTACCACTTTCTTAGATTCCAATGTATTGTATTGAACAAAATAGTTATCCAGCCCGCACTCATCCTCAAAGAGTCCAGTACATAGGAATTGTCTCTCATTCTGACCTTAGGGCACCTGCCATAAGGAAGTGAAATGTGTTGTTTGAACAAGCTTTTCCACTTTGTCTCATTATCTCCACTTTTGTTCTGATATTATTTTACATCCTATTAACAGCCATATTTATCCCTAGTACTAGAATTTTTACCATCATATCCAAGAAGAGGGAGTCACCAAACTTTTTTCACAGAGGGCCAGATAACTGAGAGAATGATGAGTGCAGGCTGGATAACTATTTTGTTCAATATACTAAATGCACAAAAAATAAAGACAACAAACATACTTATTTACGAAAAAGTTATCTAAGAAGGCAACAATAGCAATGAAATAGTTATATCACACCAAGTGCACACATACCCAAATCTCATAAACTAAGCAGCACAAAAGTTAGTGAGATTTGTAAATCTAGTGTTTACCTTTTAAGATATAATTAATATTTGATTTGGTATTGCTGCATCCAACCAAGAGAAATGCTTTCTAATGTTTATCAGTCAACCTCATTGCATGTACTGAATATGCATACTTTAGACTTTTTAATAAGTTCAGGCAAACTATATAATTCACTGAAGTCAGTCCCTTTTATATACAGCATTCTTCAAAGCAGTTGAAACTTGGCAATGCAAGTTAAAACATAATTGCTGCAGCAGGCTTGTAATCGCTTTTCTTAGAAACTTCATTGCAGGTACTTACACAAAAAGCACTTGACTTTCACTGATTTTTCCTAAAACTTATATTACTGTCAGATGCAAAGATCAGATTGGCCAAATTTTGGCATTTTACTTACATTTATTTTAATTTTTTCTACATAGTAAGTTTAACTACAATCTATTGATAATTCCATATAAATAATTATATTTTAGCTGATTTTATGGCACGGTGAAGTGGCGGGCCAGATGAACTGACGTTGGGGTCTGGATCTAGCCCGTGAGCCGTAGTTTGGTGACCCTTCTCCAAGGCAATCAGAAATATAATTAGGAAGAAAAATAAATCCAACACCAATTCAGATGCTAATACTTATCAAATAAACATTTATGTCAAAGAGACATCATGAAATCTAAAAGCCCGTATCTATGAATGTAAAAAAGATTTACATTTAGACAACCATTGAAACTCTCTCGTAATACACAAGAACAAAACTGGCCATAACTTTGCTTTTACTAATGACACCCTAATTAGAAAAGAACATAATTCTTTACCTTGAGTGTACTTTGAGGGCCTACTAATAACAATATTACCAACTATAAACACACGTCAAAAACATTATGTCACCAACCTTTATTGAATCTATTCTTAAAAAATCTTACGTATGTTTATCTAAAACAAACAATATGTACGTAAAAACATTCCCAAATCAGCATGTGAAAAACCAACAACCATAATGTCTACTACACATGCGCGCATACACACACACACACACACACACACACACACACACACATATACATTATCATCTGAATCCCACATAGACGGATTATAATTATTATACATTTATGTACATAAAGCAATATTTACGGTTTTTCAGTTAGGCTTGGGCTCCATTAATTTCTTGAAACTTTGAATGGATGCACATGAAACATGATTAACCAATGAAAATCAAAACAACACAAAAGTAAAAATACCAGAATTTCTTTATTCTCCATATCTCATTCTCTGATGAAGCTTTAATAAAAGTGAAACATGTTAGATGCATAAACATTTCCTATTTCTTCTTTATCTTATCATTCTGATATTTGATCTGTATTTGATCCCAATTCATACTTGTTTATCTAAATATATCTTCATTTTTCATGATCAAAAACATTTAATACATTAAAATACATTTAAATAGAAAAAAAATTATGGGCTTTGAAAACTGTGTTTAAATTTATTTTAAAATGTAACTGATGTTTAAGATTTTATTTAATGAAATTGTTTGCTTTATTAATTCTGAAGTTTACTTATTCCCAATCATATAAAAAAACATTGTATTGTTGTGTAAATTCTTTAATTTTTGTTGATTTTGTATTTACTTATAGTTATTTATATTTTTGTTTTTTAGAAATCAAAAGGATCGGAAAAAACAGAGTCGAGAAGACAAGCTGAAAATCATTCCATCTTGGAAGAAAGATCTTATTGAGAAGAAGAAAAAAAGACCTTTGGTAAAGAATAATTCCTTTGTTTTGTCTCTCTATAATAGGACTGCTTTGATTTCAAATCTGAAACAAAACTGATTCTTGATGGTAATTAATGTAGAAGGCTAATATTAAAACAATTTATTCATTATGATTTTTCTGTTTTATAAGACTTAGATGTTTTGTTCTAGATAATTTTTTTTTTTAAATTAAGGAAAAGAATGATCCAACAAGGGTTAACATGTTGTAAAATCCAGCAACCAGACAGAAAATGATGTGTTGAAAAAACTAATGCTTATCATTTTGATTCTTTTATCTACATGGCATCTTGACATACTATATATACTCACAGATAGGTCACACCCTTAATTTGGGGTTGTTGAAGTGGATATTTGTGGTTGACTTTGTGCACTATAACCTGGCCCATTTTTAATACAAATGTAACTAATATTTGTTAAATAATATTTCTGAAACTCCAAACTCTCATCCTGCAAATCTGTCTCCATGTTTCTCTGCATAATCCACTACTTTCAACTTAAAACTTACTACATAACTCTTTCTCTTACTCATAATTAAGGTTTGCAATCATTCAAATTTGTAAACTACTGTTACCGCTAAAAATCACGACGAACCGATTTATGATATACTGGTAAATGACTGCATTGAATAACTGTAATTGAAATTGTGATTGGTTGTAATTGCATGGTATTTACTTATTGAGTACAGAGCTGGCTGCTCTGTTTAGTCAAAAATTTGAATACCAGTAAGTCCTAAAACAATAGTTTTTCATTGTAAATCAGATAATAAATGGTAAATATGAGCAGAACAGATGGAACGCTTTTATTTGATGCGTATGTAGTACTGTTGGAAAAGGTGATTACTTAAAATTGATATTCAGATTCTCTATGATTTCAAGTGGGTAGGTCACACCCATGATTTTTATTGAAATTTTGGTAAAACAAAAGTGTGACCTATTCTCGGGTATATAGAGTATTAAATATCAGTATTAAAAATGGTTGGAACCATGGAAATTCTATGGGAGTGGACAAGATTATCTCATACTTAGGTTCTTCTTTTATCCTTTATCTATACAGAGGATCATTGTTTAACAAATTTAATATGTTCCTGAAAGCCATTTGAAATGTTCATAAAATGAAACTATTTTCCGCCATAGGAATCAATGTAAAATGGATTGATCCATTCCTGGTCCCCAGATGATTGCTTATCTAAACTTTTACCATAGTATTTTGTGCACAAGTTCATACACAAAACCAATGAAAATCATTAAGCACAAAAAAGATAAACACATAAAATATAGATAAATATATATGAAAATTAAATTTAAGTCCCCTTCCATAAAAACATGATCGTCTCTTTATTTTTGAAAATAGTACAGGTTGTTAATTTTAAGATCAGAGACACAAACACCATTTTCATATTTGGCTATGATTTCTTTCTTTACCAAGATCAGGATTCTGGTCATTTTTCTTTTCACTTTGCTGCTATCATTATCCTTCTTTGATCCCATGCTGCCTTATTTTATAAAACAATAAAATTCAAGAGAAGGTACAGCAAATTCAAGCTGGGTGTGTATAGAAACCAAAACACTTTCTGTCAATACTCCAAGCTTGTCATCCGACATAGTTGCCAGCTTGCGAGTTCATTTTCCAAGACATCATTTGTCACCCAACACATATTCTGTTTGGAAAATTTGTGCATGAACTAATTTGTTCATGATAAGAGATGATTGTAACCAGAAGTTCCACTTTATTTTCTAAATTTTTTTCCTTCATACCTTCCAATCTTCATTATCTGCCCATCTATTTATCTAAATGTTTTACAAGCAAGGATTAATATTATATATGAAAAAGGAAGGAATAACAAATATGAACATCCTCTCTTTTATCTTTCTTTTTCTCTCTCTATACACACACACATATATATATATATATATGATATATTATTTGCTCTGGATTTACATTGAGCTCTCTGGATTTTATCCTCCTTAGGTTTACCCATACGGATTACCTAAACTATATATATATATATATATATGTGTGTGTGATTTTTATATATATTATTTATATATTATATATGCACACTACTTATTGGAAAGTGCTCAATATCAGTGATAGGACTAACATATTTAGTTGAATTGAATTGAGTTTGTGACCCTGGGTTTCACACCCTTACATTCATCAAACAAACTGATTAATTTTCAAAATTTTGAATCTATTTATGGTTATGTATGGTGGTGTTTGATGGTAATGGGAGAAAAAAATCCTTCTCTGTGTCTGTTTTGGGATGTCACTCATGTATGCAGACATACATACATACCTAGATACATAAAGTATCACAATTTTTACACTTTTCCATTCCTACTTGACTTTAATAATTTTTCTTTCATTGTCTTTTGACATTCCGTAAACATGACTGTTTCTCCTTCTTTTGTATTCATTCCTCCATGTCTATATTTATTATTTTTTCTTTCATCTTTTCATTTTTCTCTAGCTTTCTTACCTGCTACTTTTTCTACTTCACACCTTTTTCCCTCTTTACCCACCTCAGTCAGTTAAGTGCCATATGTGATACACACTTGGGCAATCATCTCTTTCAATTCATGACTGACTAGGCAATGATCTTCCCACAGTAGGTTGCCATTTCTTTCTGCAATAGACTGGTTGCCAGCCAAGGTTAAAGAACCCAGTCTGTCCTGCTATTCAACCCATAGCTGAGGGGAGAAGAGATGGATTCATGCCTTTATCAAGGGCATTTGAGTGTAAGTGAATGTGATGAACCTGACGAATTTGAACTCGGCTCTCCTCACCTCACTTTTTTCAATTCTTTCCCACCTAATAATATTATATAATTTTATTAGGCAGAAGACTGATTCCAGCTCAAAAGGGCCAGAGATCAGGCAAAGATACTAAATTCTGATCCTATGTACAAAAGTGTAACAATTATATATAAAAACTAACAAAATAATAGTATTTAGATCTTAAGCAATTTTAAACAGCTCCTACTTTTTCACTGTTGTAGCATACCTACAGATGATAATGGGTATGTCCCCATTCACATAAATGGAGTAGTAAATACTATATGCTGGTCTAGAGTTGGAGATTCATTGTGGAACTCACTTGACTCACTTCTAGCAGTTGACTACTTCTATGCACCACTGGCAAATCTTATATGTATTGTTCTTGTCCTAAGTATTATCGTTCATTACCAACGTTCTTGTGATTATTCTATTCAGTAACCTTCCCTAGGTTACAACATTCACCATAGTATTTTGTAATTAGTCTGTCTTGTTTTTTCATTTTTTTTTTAATAATGGTGCCATTTCTGAGTGCCAGAAATACTCCAAGAGTGTGGTGTTAACAAATAGACCCAACAATATAGTTTTAAATTTGCCAATTATTTATTTATTTATTCTGATGAAAAGGTATATATCTTAAAATTATCACCTCTCTGTAAAAATCCATATTGTCTACTCAGGTCACATTGAAACACTGGTTTTCATACAATCACTAAAATTAAACAACATTGAGACTGGTCAGTACTTAGATGGGTAACTGCTTAGGAATACCAGGTGTGGTAACCTTGAATATACAGGTGGTGCAATGGATAATGGTTCAGAATTGGAAATTGGAGAGATGAATTCCAATTCTGGTTCAGTTTCTTATATTCACTTATGCACAAATACTCTTGAGAAAAGTATGATATACTTCTTCTCGCCACTCCCATCTATGAGTTAATTTATAGGACTTGTACCAATAAATCATTATCTCCAAAAATTTCTTAGAATCTAAAAGTATTTTCTGGCTCTAAATATCCTGAAAAAGGTTGATAAACTGTAAAAAAAAACAAAAACAAATCAATCTTGTCAGATTAAATTAAAGTAAAATTAGAATACATGAGAAAATAATGACCTGCTATTCTACGAGTTTGATTATGCGTGCACAAAATACAGCCCACAAGCCGCATGTAGCCCACAGGAGTACCTATTGTGGCCTGTGGGTGGTTTTCAAAATAGTCAATATTTTGTGTTCATTAGAATAAATTTGATGACTGATCCCATACAAAAAATTCAGTTTTGTGGAAGCATGACTTTATTCAACAAAAATCTGTTTTTTACCTAATTAATCCTTTTAACTCAGCATAGAAAAAGAAAACATTTTCTCATATATATATATATATATATATATATATATATATATATATATGAGAGAGAGATGATTTTATCTAACTTATACTCTACAAATTTACTCTTATGGCCTACAGCCAATTTTCTATAATCATTGTGGCCCTTTGCATTTTTTTTTATTGCACAGACCAGAAACTAAATATGAATTTTTATTTTAATAAATATATTTACAATTGGTATTATCTGGAACATTTTCAAATTGTTGCTTTTCTATTAAAATTTTAGATGTATGGTATTTTTTTCCTTTTTTTATCAAAATTAGAGATTCTACTATCTATAAACATTAAGAGAGTTCTGAAAATAGGTCTTGTGCATTCACCCATTTTCCTTCTGCCTGTTTGTATATCTGCCAATCAACTACTTACTAGAAGCTATTTGTAATCTTTGTTCATTTCTGGCAAGTCTGTTATCTTTCATTTTTACTTATGTGAATATACTTGGAAGCATATATACAAACCTTTTCTATTTTGTTGTTCTTCCTTCCTTCTATTTTTGTTTTTTCTCTAAATGTGTATAAGTCATTTATTTTGAAAGCTTCAGTTTCTCCATGGCATCTCACATTCATTATTAATGAGAATAGAGGGTCTGTAGAATCTGACACTTGCAGGATATATTGAAGACAAGATGTATAGAGGAAAAAAGTGAGTAACCTACATAACAAGCTTGTATAAATGGCACATAATAATGATTAAAGTTCTAGGACAATAATAATGAGGAAAGAGGGTCCGGAGAATTTGACACTCACAGGACACATTGAATGCAAGTGGGAAAGAAGAAAGCAAAGATTAACCTACTTAACAATCTTGTGTAAATGGATGGCAGA